GGCGCTAGTGTCGCACGCCAGTGGCGCTAGTGTCGCACGCCAGTGGCGCTAGTGTCGCACGCCAGTGGCGCTAGTGTAGCGCGTTTTGATTTGTTTCAAAGTGCTATGTTGATTATGTTTATAATAATAAAGATACCATAATTTTTTCCAGGTCCAAGAGATGTGTGAACACTTCAAAATTGCGTGCTTCCATATAAAACCAAAGATTAAATAGAATTATGTTGCCAGTATCAAATTAATTCCTACCAAGTTGGAAATTTAATTAACCTTATTTATTTTCCTATTACAATAAGTGTTATTTGAAACTCTCATATGTAATTGAATTATTGCAGAGAGTTTGTGGATATTTCCAAAGATCTGATGTGCTTGTCATAAATGTATGTTTAACTTAGAAAAGTTTTAGAATTAATATAAAATGTGAAGTACCAAGTAGTACTTTAGAATTTGACGTCATTCTTATGCTTACATTCATTTAGACTAGCATTTATCATTGAAAGTTATTCTGCACTCGTGTAAGCGTTTGTTACTTTTGATTTCTATTGAAATTCTGCTGAATTTTGCGTTGAAAACAAATTGTTTTCTTTAACGTACATTTTTACTGCATAAATATTTGTTAAAAAATATTTTTTTTACTCTCCGTATTTGTACGTTATGTACTACTTGTATTAGTACTCATGTTTTTTAGTTTCCAACTTTTTATTTTCTTTTTTGTTAAATTAGTAATTTTGCTCATAGGCTAGTCAACTAGGATGTCTAGGTAACATCAAAAAAACTATTTTTAGGATATTAAATATTTATATGTTTTTTCCGTCTCAAATCGATGTAACAGTTTAATTTTTTGATGAATGTTTATTGATAAAGTATTTTTTGTAATATCTCATGTAATATTGGTATATTACATGTTTTAATCGATAAAATTGGTCTTGTATCTACAGTTTTTGAAATAATTTAAACAATTTTGGATACATTTTTAAACATTTGAGATGTTTATTATGAAGTGCTTCCATTATTTCATTTGAGTTGTTTGTGTAATATTTTAAAATATAAAAATATCGTATTTAACTTCCACATATTTGACAATTTTAGAATAAAAATTATATTGAATGTAAAAATATTCAAATTTGGTCATATTTCTTTATTAAATCTGCAAAATATATCAGTAACCTTTTTGTAGTTATTTTTTCTATTGAACTTTTATACATACAAAATTTTGTTTGTTATAAAAAAATATTTTGTTAAAAAAATGAAATAGAGGTGTGGCAACCCCAAATCTATCTTATTAATATTATAAATGCAAATGTTTGAATGGATGGATTGATGTTTGTTTTTTGAAGGTATCTCCAGAACGGCTGCATAGATCTTGGTAAAATTTGGCATATGTGTAAAATATAGTTGTTGAAGAGCACATAGGATTTTAACTAGTTTTTTTTTAATTCCGCGCGAACGGAGTCGCGGGCAACGGCTGCTAGTTTTATAAATGTTACGAAAAATTATATGTTCCTGGATGATTATTGCCAAAAGTTACGTCTAGATTGTGATAAGACATTTATTGACTGCCACATTATCGGTAACTTGTTCGGTCTTATGTAGATTTGTCATACAAAATATAGATTAGTGTTAAAGTTATATTTTAGATGCATTTTTAATGTCTTATCATTAAGAAAATTTGCACTTTAGGAACATTAAAAATCTTATTAAAAAATTAATAGGAATAAAAGTACATGTTCACACTACATTTGGATATTAAATCGTAATCGCATTTGTAGTTCAGCAAAAATAAAATGTTGTATTTGGAAAAATATTTTAAAAAGCAAAGTATTCATTATTAACTACTCAATTACTGAGAGATATTTTTGTACATGATTTTCATTGGAATTTTATATCATTCTCTTGTGTACTTTTTAATTTTTTAAATTACAATGCATAAAATAATTTATTGGTCTATTTTTTATAACTTTACGGATTTTTAATGTGAAAGAAAATCATAGTATGAGATTTTTTTATCAATAAATTAGACTGACAATTTTTTACATTTTGTAAAAGTATACTTTTTTTTAATTATATTAATCAACTTTATGTACTGAAAATACATATTGTCACCAGTTTATATATTAATCAAATAAATTTTAAAAAATAATTCTTGCCAAAGTATTTTAATACTTACTCAATTATTATGTGTGTCATCTAGAGTAGAAAAAACGGTGGAATTGAATTTTCTTAAGATATAAAAATCCTATTAAGGTTTATAAAAATTGCTTCTTTGTTTATATCTAGATAAACATTTCTTTGTACTCCAGTTAAAAATGAAACTATAGATCTTTGTGCGTGTAAGTAGTGAAAGTTATGAGAAAATGCTGTATTTGTCATGAATTTTCTGTATATTTTTGTTGCATTTACTCATTGAAACTAATCACAGACCCAAAGATTTGTGGTAAGCAATTTGTGTATAAAATCTGCATTTTCAGTAGGTGCCAGTACAATTTTAATATAAGATTTTCCACATCTATATCCATAGTAATCAATCAAAATGTATTCCAGTTTACAATTCATATAAAAATAAAAACATGTTCTTAAAAATTAAGTGTTTAGAAACCTTTGTAGACCGACAAATAAAGTATGTAAAACATATTCTGCAATTTCATTCTAACCAACATTTGTTTCCTGATTACTCTTTTATATTTCAGGATGTTCAAAATTATTGAGTTACAGGTTACAGGGTGTACAAAAGTGTTATTTTGCTAAGCCTGTAAGCATTCCAGCTTCATTGTTTTAAAATTCTAAGATTGGATTATGGTTGTTTTATAAAAAAGATTCAAATATAAATAATAATAAAATTGCCAAACAACAATAATCTTTATTAAAGCAATAAAAACACTTAACCAAGAGAACTAATGGTTTCATTAATCTCATCGCCCAAAGACAGAAGTTTCCTCCATTGCTCCGGTGTTAAGCTAATACCCTTCTTGCCTGGTAACAAATCCCCATTTTTCTCATAGAATTCTCTTACATCTACGTAAACTTTTCCTTTAAATGTTCGAACCTTGACTAACTTTTTACCCTGCAGCACCCAAGTTGGTTCCTTATCTTCAGTTCTACTACCCATTTTTGCTTTTTTCTCTGCTGGTTGATTTCTCTAAAATACAAATTATAAAATATACCTTGACATCTTTTGATGATTTTTCTAAAATAAACTATAAGCAGAAAACTTTTTAAATATGGAATATATACATCTGTTTCCCATATTTATAGTTGTCGCACGCAACAATTGCTGACGTGGAAAAGTAAAGTTATTAAAGGAAACATTCTAAAGAAGTTAAATTATAATCTTTACAAAACATAATTTAATTTTAATTTTATCTACTACCCAGAGCACTATTATTCTATGAGGTTACCGGTATTTTAGTTAACGTGTCTAAAAACGATCGTTTTAAAATAATGCATACTCAACATTTCACTTGTTTATCTGCAGTAAATGAGCATTTCGACTTTTTTGTTACTAAATTAATACTTATTAAAATTTTGTCATTGCTTATAAAAACATATAAACTTACATCAACTGGACCCTCATCACTGTCGCTGCTCGAACTTTCTTGCTTCTTATTTTTAGGCATTTTAACTCTTAAATCAAGTACTTAATTTACCCGTAGAATAATTTTCAACTTTCTATCAGTTATATTTCAAGTTTTATTTTTATTGCATGTAGCACATATTTCAATTAAAGTTTTATTAAAACACCTTTCCACCTTTTCCTAAAACTAAAAAACACGTCAAAGAGTATATAAAATGAACACGTTATCAAAGAAACAAAGAGTAAGATGCCCGGTGCACGCCGTGTATTTTACCTATTGACACTCGAATTAAAAAAAAAGTTAACCTACAAGACCAGAGAGGACATCCAGCAGTGAAATATGAAAATATTTCAATTAATATTACTGGAAACCACAGAGTTTAAAAAATTAAATAAAAAATAAGAAAAATACAAGACAACCTGGAACACATGACAAAATACCAAAACCAAGCTGACAGGGCTGCTTACTCTTTGAAATTTTTAGTCCTGAGTGCTGTCAAAACAATTGTCATTCATTGTCAATGTCAAGTCAACTACAATACGAATTATAACCTAAAAAGTAAACAATACTTTTTCAAAGTTCTACTTCTATAACCTAAAAAGAAAATCTATCACATTTGTATTGTTAAAACAACCATAAAATGTTGGAACCGTGGAATAATAGAAATCTTTTACCTCCACCAGTTCAAACATGTTATTGTGACGAGAAAATTGGTAATAATAAATATTTACATTTTATTATTGAACGCACTTTTATACTAAATAATTCATGTTATTAATTTTACAGATACAAGATATTTAAAGCAAGCATGCACGAATGCAGTGAATATTTTGTCTAAGCAATCTCCATTGCATAATGAAAGTGCTTTACTTTCAAGATTTATTTATAAATACGACAAAAAGTTTCGTAATGATATTGGATATCGTATATTTAAAAAAATAAATACTACTCTTCGGAGGTATTTAATGTTAAATGTCATGAAAGATATTGAAAACTTTGCATCAGTTTTACCCATTGAAACTGATGAGTATTTACCAACCCGGCAGATGTTGCAGTATGTGTTGGTGAGACTTGTGTCTTTCTCAAAACTTATGTTAAGGATATCAGTTTGTTGCAAACAAGCAGCTATTTTTTATTTAGATAGAGTAAAAAGAGGTGAAAGTCACTGGATGTCACTGATGCCATATGCATTACTAAGCAGAATATGGTCATTAAGTAATGTTTTACTTCAGCATTCTTGTAGTTGGTATGCACAAATGTATCCATTTTTAGAAAATCTTCAATTAAAAGGTTTACCATTTTTACCAGATGGTTATGAACTTCCAGTTAATTTACTAGACTGGCTAGATTTAAAAAATCTTGAAAACCTTGGCCGCTTCCATTGGGCTCACAAAGAAGTAATCAAAGTTGATCAAATTTTAAATGAAGATTCTGAAAGTAATACAATGGATAGTTTAATGATGTACATAAATGAAATAAATAAAGACAATGAACAAATAGAAATGAAATCTCTACCTTCTGAACACATTCACGAAACACCTGTACATACTATTGAGAAATATGTGGACAAAGGTGAGGTCATATCAAGAGAATATTTTAAAGGTGTAGACAGCGGTGAAGCCATATCTAGAGAACATTTTAATAGTGTAGAGAAAGGTGAGGCTATGGCCTCAAAAGAACACTTTAAAAGTTTCTTTGAACCACCTAAGAAAGAAGTTAAAGCAAAAAAGGGTGCTTATTATCATTCGTTGGACAGAGTAACCAACACTAAAACTTTAGCAGAGTTTGTAAATAAGGAGGAAACATATAGATATGAACAGAACACAATGTCATTAACCACACATTTGACGTTCATGCAATGGCAAGCTTTAAAATCATTATTACTAAGGCTCTGTGAAGACAATCTTAGTAATAACAGGAAGATTCAAAGGAAATTCTTGCAAATATGGAAAAAGAAATGTGTAGAAATGAGCTAAAAAGAACGAAAAACCGTTAATTTTATTGACAGTCCTATCTTCAATTTCAATGTTAGTTTATATTAACTAATATTATAGTTGAATAATTATATAATTAAATTTTTTTTGATATTTTTTTTTATTTCACCTTTTCTATGCCAAAGTTACCTTAGGCATACAGACAATAAAAACTAAATAGATCATAATATTTGCCTTAATAATATACAAATCATAAAAATCTTTCTTGTTAACATATTTTATTATTTATAATACATCCAAATGCAAAACGTAGCTAAACAACTCGTAAAAATCAAATACACAATCATTGTTCTCTTTATATTTATAAATTACAAAAATTATTTACATTTTCCCCTCATTGTTACAAAACAATATACCCTTTTTATTTCGATGGAATTAAGCATATTTCAAAAATGGCAAACTCACTGGCTAGTTGCAAATTTATGAAAAAATTAAAAAATTCACAATTTTTTCACATCAAGCCAAAATTACTTAACATATTGAATAAATACACGAAATAAAATGTTGAATACCAATTAATACTTTGTTGTAAAATATATAAGGAGTTTTTAACAAATCTTTTATATTTATTTATTTTTAACACTTGGGTTTTACAGATTATATACTATAGACTATATATAAAATATCTCAAAAACTTGAGGTAAACAGACACATGTATATAATAAATCAGATAAATTTAGTTACATTATAACATTATTATTTTGCCGGATTTTTTTTGTGCATACATTTTAATATTATCATGATAAGCATATTATTTTGTTCTTTTACATTTTTGGATGATTCAGAAGTTAACATAATTATGGTTAGTATGTAGTATCGATTATTTTTGTTTTACCAATGAGATTTCTTTAAATTGAAATTATTATAAGCGTAGTAGCACCTATTATAGAAATATAAACAATGTTTCATACAAATAAATGCAACAAAAGAATGACACGAATTAGAAATAATTCACACACAGGTACATTTTGTGAGATTTTGACAGCAAATTCTTTTTTGTACTTCATATAAATTGGTAAGAATTGTGCTGTCATGTGTTCGTATGGCCATTACCAAGGTCCCAGGGTCTAGCCCTTATCTTCTTGTACCTGACAATTTTTGAAGACGAGCTTTTAAACCACCTTCTTTTTTAGGCTGTGTCAAAGATTTCCTTTCATCTTGGAGTTTTTTATTTTCTTTTAATCTGAAAAGTAAAAAAAATATTGTTTAATTTCCCACCTTAATATTATTATTTTAAAACATGTTTATGTACTAGTTGTCACCTGCGATTCCATCCAAGCAGAGTGAAACTTAAGACTTACTTATAAAATGCCAAAATTTGTCAGGATTTGGTAAGCCATTTTGGAGATAACCTTCTAAAAACATCCATCCATACGTAAGATAAGTAAAATATCCTTGTGAATACTCACTTTTCTTTTATGGCAATCTGCTCTTCCTTCTTGAATATATCTTTAAAGTCGCTGCAAAATGAAGTCCATAGGGAGAAGAACTCCTTGGGCTCGCACTCCTCGAGCTTGCCGCACTTGGGCGTGTACTGGTAGAATCTGACAGTGCCAATGAACTTGGCTCGACACTCCTCTAAATTATCGTTCTCAGTCTTCAACTTCTCCTCAGCCGCGTCAAGGAATGTCTTCATCTTATCTTTGAACACTTCCAATCTCTTGGTATTATCACCACATGACGATACACAGTCTTCGTTTCTTTGAGCATCACATTCAATTACTTTCTTTGTCTGCTCTCTGCAATCTGTAAAAGTAACAAAGTAAAGACATGATAGATTCATAAAAAACTATGACCAAAAAGTAAAATTTAAGATCTATCATTATTTAGATACGTGTTAATCAGCTGTGAACCGGTTCAAAGACCACGTCATATTGACTTAAATCGTTGAGCTACGGATCAACTCGAAAGCTTGACTTATTGTTTCTCCTAGGGATCATCCCGACAAACTTTGTCTTATTACCGTCGCATTCTACCTTAGTGACCAATTTGCACCAATTGCAGTAGATATAGATTTAGGATACCTTGCAATCGTTTATCTAGCTCCTTGAGATGTGCGGCGACGTCAGCAAAGTCAAGAGCTGCGGCGCGCGCCACGTCGCCGGGCTCGGGCACGGGCAGCGCGCACGCGCCCGCCAGCGCCCCGCCCCGCGCCCGCATGTACGTGCGCACTATGAAGTGCAGCAACGTCACCTGCGAGTGCTTCGACTGCGCACACACATACATATTCATACATACATATATACAAATAATCAACACCTCCTTACAACATAGTAACTTATTTAATGACTGCATTTTTCAAACTTCTAATTTTTTAAAGTACTAAATTTTTATTATAAAAATTAAATTATTGTATCTTCTTCATAGCTTTGGAGCTATCAAACAGTCCAATATAAAATTTATATCTAAGGTACACAATCAACATACCTTAACATCTTTCAGTTTAGCAAGTATCTCTAAACCGAAGCCATCAGCCTGTCCTCTTTGACCGTTGCCACCATTCATATAGTTGCCCAAAGTTAAAATAATTGCAAATAGCTGCTTCAATGGCTCACTTGTAGTTAGAAACTGTTAATGAATACAATTTACATTTTAATATATGTATCAGTTATTATCTACTATGTTTTTTTTTTAAATAGGAATAAGTTCTTACCTCACATGTATGTTTTAAATTATCTAATTTGTGCATTGTTGTGTTCACACCATCTTCAAATTCTGTTTGAAACATAAAGCATGATATTCTTTCAGCAAAATTTGGTATCCCGGATAAATCATGCAAGAAACTTTCAGGTTTGTCTAATGGAATTTCTGGTTTATTTCTTAAATGGTCTTTTATTAACATCAATTCTTCTTCAGTTGCTCGCTTAAAGAATATACAAAAAAAAATAAAGAAAAACAAATCATTGAAAGAAGAATTGTTAAGTGAAAATACTTACCAAGTCATAAATCTGCTGTAATGCTTCTAAACTAACAACAGATGTATCAAAATTGTATATAGCATTTTCTATTTCGGAGAATTCCACATGTAAACTTTGTGCCAATATCCCAACATTCTGTGATCGTTTGCTGTCCAGTAATTTGACTGGTTTTATCTTAGCTTTGACCTCAGTTTTCTTTTTTGCTGGTGCTTTAACAACTTGTCTTGAGAAGAGATCCGTAAATTCATCAATATTATCCAGTTTCGCTTCTTCAATTTCCAACCACAAAGGTTTTAATTTGCTCGATTCTGAATCTCCTTGGTAGGCTGGTTGTGTTGGCGCGGCCAATATACGTGTCCAGTATAACGGTTTCATAGGCGCAGCTGGTTTTATAGGTGTTTTTCTTAATGCTGGAAGATAAACATAAATGGTAAATTCCATTTTGTAAAATGATGAATCTCTTAATCTACTTTTAAATTATAAACATATCATCTTAGGTATTGAAAAATTCTCGACTTTTGACGATATTAAAGTAATGAATACAAATTCAATGACATCTTATTTAAAGCCATTTAACAATTTTTATCATATATACCATACCAAGAATATTAGCATTATTTCATTCTGTCATACACTTTTGTTATTAACAAACATGGAAAATTTTTAAAAATCATATTTTACCCGTACTTACTGGCTCGTTGCATGTTCCATCCGCCTGCAGGAGGAGCGGGAAAGGGCAGGGGTCCTGTGGTCTGGTGCGCCGGGGGACCGAGAGCATTCAGTGGCGGTGGATTAGTTCCTATAGACTGGCCTGCTCCAGGCATAGGCGGAGGAGGAGGTCCTACTCCGGGTGTTAGGTGCGAAGGCGGTTCCATGCCGGGCATTGGAGGTGGAGGTGGCATCATCCCAGGCATAGGTGGGGGAGGAGGCATCATACCAGGCATAGGAGGCGGTGGAGGCCCCATACCGGGCATCGGCGGTGGAGTCGGACCCATACCAGGCATCGGCGGTGGAGGCGGCCCCATACCAGGCATAGGTGGTGGAGGCGGCCCCATTCCGGGCATAGGTGGAGGAGGAGGTGGTCCCACGCCAGGCATTGGGGGTGGTGGAGGTCCCAATTCTGGCATTGGGGGTGGAGGTGGCGCCAATCCTGGCATTGGGGGTGGAGGAGGCGCCATACAAGGTGTTAGAAGAGGGGAGGACGTCATTCCAGGCAAAGGAGGCGGAGGAGGAGGTATACAAGGTGAGGTTGGTACTTCGCTTGTTTTGATTTCCATTAAAGTTGTAAATTCATCCGAAACTGGAGGTGATGACATCGTTCCTACTTTAGAATTTTGCGAAGACGCATCACATTTTTCGGGAGGTGGTGATAGATGTTTTTCTGGACTGGAGGATAATAACTCATCTGATTTTGGAGGCCCTGTATCTGTTGACGTCGTAGCTATTTCCGTATTTGACACAGAGGTAGATGCATCAGTACTTGAAATAGGAATATTAGTTCCTACAGAAGAAGTGATTAAATCTTTACTACTATCTTCTCCACTTTTCGATGTACTCTCTTCAGATAATATTGACAGGGATGGAAGATTTGTTATTGACATTGGTATAGACTTCGATTGTGCTGGATTTATGTATGGTGCAGGAGTCATTAGTTCAGGTGCTATTGATTGCGTTCCCGGTGCAGGAGGTGGTGATGGTGTTTTCCCAGGCATAGGTGGAGGTAATGAAGTTAATGTGTGGTTTAACTCCGTACTAGATAATGTTGTATCATGAATTGTGGGTATTATTTGAGTATCATTATGTGTCTCTATCTGTGTGCAATTTTCCTCAGATGTTGAAGCATTAACATAACTAGCTGAGCTTTCACTTTGCTCATCAGCAGATTTTTGTGACTGGTCCAAAGACGTTTGACTATGTTCCGATGTAACATAGTGATCCACTTTAGAGAAAATAATATTTGTAGCGGATACATTCTTTAAGCATGATACATTCTGAACAACAGTTTCACTTTTGTTCCACATATGTTCGTGGTTACTTTTCTCATCTGTCAATTTGCTTGAGGTGTAAGTACTAGCAAACGAAGAGTCAGATGAAGAATCATATTTATGACAGTCGGAACTTTTGTCTGGAAGACTTACGGCATCATTATCAATATTTTGGTTATTGTTATCTATGAAATCATCTTTACGCAATGGTTTATTATATTCTCTACTTTTATTTAATTTACAATAATTTTCTATTCTTTCAGATCTTTTTTCACATTTATCACCAGCATCACCCATCTGATTTTTATAAACTAACCTACTTATTTCTACTGTGTTATTATTATCATTTGATATTATTGGGCTATCATATTTAGGTGTACTTATCACAGGTCTAATGGTTAGTTTATTCTCATCATTGAGTGCCATAGAAGTCTGTACTTCTTTGTCAACTAATAGCTCAACTTTATCTTTCATTAAATTACTATCTTGTATTGAATTAAAGCTATTTGGTAAATTTCTATTCAACATTTCAATTTGATTACTAATTTTTACTTTTTGTAGCAGATATTCAGCTTCTTGCAATTTCTTTTTTAATTGCTTTATAATAGCTTTTGCCTCTTGAATATCAATTGCTTCATCATTATTGTTTTGGTTGTAGAACAGACTGTTATCCATGGCTGTGTATAATGTCATATCACGGGGAATTTGATTGGTTTCCTTGTCCGGTGGCCATGAGCTTGTCTGTAACCTTCCCGGAGTAACAGGTTGTGAAACTGGTGCCTCCATATGTGCCCAATAATACATTAGGTTTGGCTGAAAGTAACACATTACAAAATTTTATGTTTATGTTACAAATAAAATGAAAATTTTACAACTCAACTTAAAATATTTTACAACATTGACTCTATGAAAATCAATTCCAAAGAATGAAATATTATGTTAATTGTTTAATTTTATTGAAATATTAATTGATTTCATTAGTACAGAAAATCTAGACACATATCGTTTAGTGAAGTGATTTTCGAAACTTAATAACGTTAGTAAGTTTTAGATGAGGTTTTGTATGTAAAACTTCATATAAAGCATCAGATCATACCTTAAATACATTTTCCGTTGGTGCATTTTTATCTGATATTTGTCGTAAAACTCCGGCAGCTAAGAGATGCGTGCAATATTGTATCCCAATATTTTTCAGATCTTGAGTACTTACAAGGCTTTTAAAGTTACTGTTGTCAGCAATTGATGACACGAACCAATTAAGTAGCATCTGCCCTGAAATTGTAAATTTGGCTTCTCAAACACGTGGAATGTAAACAAAAATTTAGTTTCTAGAAAATCAAGAAAATTAACACGAAATTTGTCATATAAACAATATTTTTTTTTGACATTTCTGATTCTGATTTTGACACTAGAAAAATTTAATGTTGCTAGCATAAAATCATTTAATTCAAATTATTTATAAGTTTCTAACTGGTATGTTCTTTTTGAGCTAATTTTAAAATTGTGTACGTGCTTAAAATTACATTATTTTGAGATGTAAATAACAAATCAAAATAGCTTCTATTTAAAGTAAATAAGATTCTCTGAGCAGAGGCAAATTACAAAAACGGCCTATTGGTAATGTAATTTTAAAATTTTAAATGGCCCCTTGTGTATATTTCCTCGATTGCGGTATTATAGAAACAAAAACAAATATTTGCCTAGTAAAATTGCTTATTGGAATATCCGGCGTATTGTTTATTTACCTATAACGTCAAATAATTGCTGGATTTGAATCTACGCCCAAACATCACTGCATGCAAAGTTCCCTCAGTTATCACGGAATTTCATAATCATTGATCGTTATCTTACTGGAATTGACATTTACAGTCTTTATAAAAGTGTACTAAAACTATCATATTTATCTATGCGTAGTAAAATACGTATCAAGTTTTAGGGTGCAGAACTAAATCGACGATACAATTTGATGAAACAGTCGATAATTCATTCTGGAAAACAAAAATAAGTTACCTATGTTACGTTCAGGACTATATTCTCGAACACAGCGCTTAAACAAGCGAGATATTTTCACATCGTATAAACATTTACGATCACAATCTCGCCGTATCGCCACTATAATTACACCCGATCTCATATCCCACTCCACTAACGTCTCACAGAACTTTCTTTTCGTATTGAATATAACAATTCGAAACCACTCCACCGCACGATCCATGTTTATTGTCAAGGTTTTACGAACATAAGGCACTAACGTTCGATCGTCATCCAGCAATTGAGTTTTACGGAATAGTTTTCTTCTAGCACGTTTCACTTTAGTGTCAAAGTCGACGAGAGCAAAGTCATCAGAATGCAACCCCAGCACGGTGACGATATTGTGGACGCCTCTCTCGGCAGAATTGGGCTTGTTTAACAACTTCACATAGTTGTATTGTGCTACGGAGGAGTTTGTAAAATTGACTCGACTGGTTGCGAGTTGCATATTGGCAAGTTTTCACTTCACTTGGCACACGTAAAGTCACGTACACACTTCGCATTTCTCGGTATCACCGTTGAGACTGGAGTGATTACGGATAAGAATTAGCCTATTACATCTACCTATCTAATTGTTCATAACTGATAATGATTTTTATCATGTCGCTCATTCATATAATTGTTTGGTCGGCGATAGTAGCGCCAGGCGTCCTTCGACGTTCTTTATTTGAAGTTAATAGGTGCGTAATTCATGCAGTAAACAAATTACTTTTAGATAACGTTGCTAGGTATCGAGTATTATCAGACAGTAATAATAATATAGTGCCATTTAAAAGATGTATTATAAGCCTTAAAGAGATCAGTCCCGTCTTTCCTATTTTACAGAAAACAACATAACAAATGGCACCACACATTCCGTGGGATGCAAAATTGGTTACTTATATTGCAAACTAATGATTTGGAAGCGACCCACGTTTTTATTAAAAGATTTACTAGCAGGACATTTAAAATTTTCGAATATTTCGTGTCGTACCAATAAACTAGACTTGGGCTAAGACAAAAGCAGGTTTGGCGCCCAATACGATGGATGTCCGCACCATTATGCTATTAGCGCAATGCTATTCTAACGTACAATAGCAATTGAACAAACCTTCAAACTTCTCATAGAGTTGAAAGTCCAGTTTTTCCGGCACGAACCTGGGGCGCGTTACCTTTGTATCTGTCAGCTTATCCAATGTCAGCGAAGCAACTTTTCTCAATACATTAGATTCCGCCAAGGGTACATCGCTTAGACTCGAATGTCGTCGGTCAATTTCTGTAATACAAACAATATAGAATCCAGTTTTAGACTATATTTCTAAGCGGATATTTGGCTTAATATGAAATTCTTAACTAGATATCTGCAAAAAATAAAGCTTAAGTTTGAGACGTCGTCAATCTTAAAATACACTTAAGAAATACATTGTGGATGGATGATTATACGACGCAGAGTTTGAGTTGGCACGCCAAACAAACCAATACTCGTGTTACCGGTGTGCCAAATCAATTACCAGATGTAACAGTATAGGTCCGAATATTAACTAAGTATATTTATGTAATTTGGATTGTTGTAACTCAATTGAAATCAATCATGTGTAAAATATCGAGAAAGGTAATAGCTTCCCTTCGATGCAGCGATGCAACAATAGGTAGTCATGCGTTACGAAAAATTATTATTAAAGTACTTGGAAAAATTTAATTCAACTTTAAATTTATTATTTGAACTGTTTGCTTGTTTTAAACTACACCTTAATAATACATTTATACTAATAATGCCTTGAAAACAATTGTTATGAGCAAGATTAGATATTACTCAGAGTTTGCGTTGCGGTGAGGGATTACGTTGTTTATGCATTATTTGTGTGCTTTCTCTTCATCTCTGTTCTTAGAAGTTATTCCATTTCAATTGAAAAATTAAAAATCTAAGAAGATATTGGTATTTAATGCCACATCTAAATAAAAATCATAGTTGATGATATGGATAATGGAGTAAAACGGACAGTATTTTTCTTATTGATGATCCTTTATCAATTTCCTTTATATTATGTACTGCACATACATACATAGAGATGATAATATAAAACAGCTAACAGCTTATCGCGAGTGAAGTTCAAAGTCTAGATCAATTTAAGCGTTAAAACAACTAATTAAAAGCAGTAAACAATATTTAATTAAAATACTGTAAATTATTTCGTTCCATGTCCAATATGCATGAATAAAACTTCCAATACTTTGCCGGTGTGTATGCACAACCAAGTACTACAATGAGTAAATATTTAGGTTATAGCTATGTAGCAGGTGCAACACAAAAGTGTAAAACTGGTTAAGTATACTCAATATATGTGTATGTAAGAATATAAACATGGAAAATGTAACGGTCCCTTAATTTTGTCGAGGTTCGTTTAACAAAAAGATGACTCTACAAACATATTTACGTTATGTTTGTTGTGCTTTTCTCTTTGTCAATTGTACTTTAGGTTTCCATGCACAATGTTGTGAATTTATTACATACAAGTCAATGATAGGGTCAAGTAAATAATTCATGTTAACATGTACATAGTTTTTCTAATTGCGTCTACGACGTTTTCTAGTTGGAATGAGATTGATTATAGGAATTTAAGAAATACTTGAAAAAAATGACGTGTGTTCAGATTGTTCGATATGTTTATCTTAGATAAGAAGTATTGACTGACCGTTATCGACGAGGGCGAGAGCGAGGGCGTCAGGCGCGCTCACCGGCGGCAGTTCCACCTTGCGGTGCTTGGACACCGTGAAGGCGGTCTGTCCAGGGCAGGCCTTCAGCCGGTTCTCCAGGAACTCATGGCTGCACTCGTTAGGCTCGGAGTCCGGCTTTGGCCTCGTCAGTATACCGCCCATCGTGTATGCACCGACGTCACTCGGCTCGCAGTTTTCATCGAATACGTCAGTTGCAATTTCTTTTTCCGTATCTGGCGTTCGTGTCGCGGCGGCGTCCGCGTGCGGCATGTTTACAACCGGCCAGCCGCTCTCCGGCGATGTGTCGACTGAGACGCCGGCGGGCGGGGGCGAGAGGGCGCGCGAGGGCTCGTCGTGCGCGCTGTCACTCTCCGCGGAGTAGTAGCACTGGTTGAGCTCGACGGCGAGTGGCGTGAGAGGGTCCGTGAACACGGACTCGGAGTTGGAGTCATCGGGCGCGGGGGCCGGGTGTGCGGAGTCGCGGGTCGGTGACCGGCGCTCGGCGCGCGCGGCCGCGGACCACCTGGACCCCGTTACCTCCGAGTGCTCGCTGCTCGTCTCCGCTGCCCCCGCGCTCGCCGCACCGCTCCTCGCGCCCCCGCACGATGTTTTGAACACGCACTCGGCCGTATCGTTATCGGATGCCTCGATCGGTTCATTGTTATCGGAATCAGGCGTTTTATCGGCCTCCCTGTCGAACGCCTCTCGTTTTGCGATGCTCTTTTTTCTCGCTCGTTTCTTGCCGTCCTTGAACGATCCTTTCCTGTTCAAATTCCTCATGAAATGTTTCCCCTTCGCCGGCGACTTCCCAGCCTTCGACTGTTTTTCTTGAGCTTGGGTGTTACCCATTTTTGAGCTTTTAAATGGGTTCACTAATTCGATAAGAATACGATAAATAAACACTTAATTATGAAAACCAAATGATACATTTTATAATATAAAAATCTAGTAGAAACATTGTCACAGCCCTTGGAGTCCATTTGCGATCTGCTGGGTTGAAGTGCGCCATGGCGCATGTGCCAACGAGCTGCTTGATCAATACTCAAAATATCTTGCCTAGTCTAAAAATGTATAAAATTAAAAGACTAATTACAAACTTAAATACAAATCATTTTAATCAATCCATTGTCATCATATTAAGTTAAGAAACGGCCTATATTTATTTTGTTAACGTAAGTTTTTTTCTATATGCTGGAGAATTGTGCGGCAGATGGCGTGAGTGTCGCCCTTGATGTTCATATATAGGACGTGCAAACCAGTCTTTGTACTTGCATAAGTAGTTTCATTACTGACGATGAACGAAGCATCTGTACTTAGGTCGATTGATAAATATGTAATTCACTACAAGACTTTGCTAATACGATACGTCTTATGATTGTAATGATGATACGAGTAAAATATTAATCTGATATTGTGTTTGCGCACAAAACAAGCTTATATTTGGGATATAATTTTAATTACTACCTGAGGGTGAAAAAAATATTTTTCTATCCCACCAACTTAAGTATTAGCATTACATCAAGAAAAAAAAGTAAAAAGTACCTCTAAATTACATTTCTTTTACTTTATTCGCTTATTATTATACTTACTGTCACTCTTAAGTTTATATGGTTATATTTAACACTATACTTATATTTAGGTAAAGTTAAAATATTTTCTTTTAGTACGAAACTTAACAATCGTATTGAGTAACCGTGAATTACAAACTGTTAAGATAAAATGAGGGTAATTGACAGAAATATGAAGAACAACGATAGAGTACCTACCTTTTTTGTAGCAGTAACGAATGCATTGTTATTGTGTTGTATTTCCTTGGTTATTTGACTCTCTGACTTGTAGATTATTATAACTCTGTATTAAATAAAAACGGCGAAAATTTGTAAAAAGTTTTTATTTTCGAACAGTCTTACATGAATATTTACAAAAAAAAAATTAATTGAATTATATCTAATTCGTAGATTGCCTTAAATTCTAATAAAAATGAATAATATGGCATTAAGTAGTAGTTGTCCAATGTTAGTCTTATTTATATTTAATACATAATGCTAAAAAATAAACTACCTTCCAAAATAAAAATGTTACAAGAATTTATAGAATCCTGGCAAATCAACGCCATCTATATTTTACAAATGCTTACAATGAAATTGTCAATAAAAATGCTGGAAACACTAACAAAAACATATAATAATGTTCATTCTCCTTGAAAAAATTGAGATAACAATATGTTTCATATCGATGTTTCATCTGAAATAGACAGTTTTGATTACAGCTTGACCTGGAAAATTGGAAATCTGTCGACGACTGAATCCCGTCCTTCACTACATAAGTACGCAAAGAAATTAGTACAAAATTTTAGACAATATGATGAGATGTTTTATATCTCTGGTCTAGTTATACATTTATAAATTTCATTGTGAACACATTCGACGGGCTTAGCAAATTGTATTCTAATTATTTACATTAGTTAAAATACTACAAAAATGTTTTCAAGTAGGTTTTAACTATAACAAGGTTGGCAGTGTCATGGTTATAATGGACGCAATATTTTATAAACAAAATGTTGGATATCAAAGTATATTTCATTAAAATAAAAATTACTTTGAATACCAATGATTTATAATTTCCTAGTACAAGTATATGAGTAATTAAGAGTAATTTTTGAGACATTTCCTATGTTTTGGAAAGACAAACAATTTCACTACTATAGTAGTTAATATGTTTTGTATGAAATGAATATTCAGAACAAAATGTGACAACTAAAGCAAAAAATACATTAAAATTTAATTAAAAAAATTGCAAAAAAATATACAGATAAAAAGTAAATATATGAGTTTTCATTAACTACTTATCTAAATTAAAAAAAGAGAAAATATACTTCGCCTACACCAATGACACAAATAAAATTGTACACAATTATTGCTTATCTTTAAACATTCAAATAAATGAATAAATGAATAATAAATATTTTAATTTTAAATCACTTATATTATAAAAAAGGGTTGTTCCGTCAATATTATTTTGGACGGCAGAATCATTGTGAAGTTTCCGTTTTTAAAAAAAAATAAAAACCTTATTGTATTTCCAGTATCTTTAGAAAAATATGCTATCCTTCTTACTCTCTAAAAGCCAATGGGAGATAGCAATATGTTATTACAGGTATTGTGGATATGAAAAATGGTTTGTAAAAAAAATATCTATATTGATTTTCTTTTACAATTACAGTATGACAAATCAAATTATAAATCACATAGTACGGAAAAAAATCTTAAATATCATACGAGAAACAACCCAATAATCTTATTTTATTATAAGTACAATGATTTCGTATGCTGCACCGAAAAAATGTATAAAAATTTAAGTACTAAAACAAAGGTGGGCTCAATTTTCGATGATATTCAGTTCACACGCTACAATAAATTTAAAAAAAAAGTACAAAAATATTGAAATACAAAAGAAAAATATAGAAAGACACTGATATTTATGTTTAAATAAAAATAATGTTGTTACGTCATAATTCTATAATTAGACACTTTTTGTAGCAACTTTGCTTTTAAATGAGTATAAAAATTTTACAGCCTTATCAATATGGATAAAGCTATAGAATTTTAGAGCTACAAAACAAGAGCTTTATAAACAAATTATAGAGAAATAAAAAATATAAGAGACAGATAAAAAATAATAGTGATAAAAATCAATATAAGGGGAAAAAACTTTTTTTAAATTTTTAACAAAAACAAGTGTCTACTAGATAACCAAGAATCGAGACGCACAACATTAAGAAAAAACTCATAAATATTCAAAATAATGGTTTTATAGTCAACGAGTGTAACCAAACAGTTGATTCCAGAGTTTTCCATCAATACAATCCTTTGTAAAAGAAAAAAGCTATAAAAGACAAGTAATGTGTATGTACAATAGTCTCATTATGAAAACTTTAGCTACATAAATATAAAGGCCTGAATCAATAAAAAGCTATTTGTTATAAATGTTCCAATTAACTCTATAACAGACTACTAATAGCAGGTTATTAAGAAAGGCCTTAATAATAAAAAATAATAGGTTACAATTTAAAAAAAATATTTCACAGAAGGATTATTTAAACATGTGACGCGTGTAACCAGTTCCCGATTATTAAAACTAAATTAATACTAAAAATTTACAATTATCCTACAAATTACATAATCAATTATAACTTTGCCTCTCTAAAATTATTATAAATCAGAGCATATTGTTGTCATAATTTTATTTTAAATGTCTTATTTGCGTATGTTTTATTTTTTGAGTTTGAAAAATATATTTAGATTAACTAAAAAATAAACAATGTTTAAAAGGTTAAAAATAAAAAACAATCATTCACTAAATGAAAATGACCGAATGAAAACCATATTTAGGTGTGACGTCACAAATGTCATAATCATTAACTTTTTGAATTAAGAATACGCTTATTTTTTTAATTCGAGAGAGGCAAAGTAAATGCGTGCAGTAAGCATAGTAATTATTACTGAGCTTATTGACATTTTATTTTAATATGACAATCCTGCACAGATTATATAATGTTAATAACTACAACGCTTTATATTTACATGTGCGTTAAAATTAATAATGGCTGTGAGAGCTTTACAATGTCAAATGCCACAATTTTTATACTTTAATAAAATTGTTATCATAATATTAAGTACGAGATTCGTTATTTCATATGATAAGATAGATATGACAATCAAGTGTTTTTATATCTAGCTTATATTTGATAGAAGTTTCTATGCAATCAAAATAAGAAGATAAAAGATTTTCTAAATATATTGTATGAAATATATAGAAAATATGCATTGATAGTAAATATAATAAGTCCTATTTACTTATATAAAAGGCAATAAGTACATTAAAATGTAACTTTTAGCCTCATGTATGAAGTATTAAAGTTGTGTTACTTTGACTCAAATTGTTTGGAAGCGTGTATGATTGAGATCTATTAAAGAACTATGAACTTAACTACAAGTATAATTTATGTATAAATCAGTTTTATTTATAACATATTCCTATTATTTGTTTAAAACTTATTGAGTAGCTGCCATAGTACTATAGCCGTATTTTTTTTTATTGGAGTATTTGATATTGAGTTGAAATGCATTTTGGTGACGTTCTGTAAAACAGACATGTACAAGATATTTGCAAATATAAACAAATTTTTATAACTGAATCAGTATAGAACATTTATTTAGTTACAGTTAAGGTAAAGGTGCGAGTCCATCGGTCCGCACAGAACGCACTGCACGCACTGAAACGGATTGCTTTGTATTGATGCGCTGCGGGCTACGCGCATAATGGACGCAACGCTATGTAAAATCATGCAACTATAAATAGGATGTACTACAAATTGTAATAACACTTAATCCTGTTGACAAAAGTTGTATGTTGAAATATCTGTTCCGAGTATAAAGTCAGTAGGCATTCGAATTTCATTCACAATATTTAATAATATGTGGTGTTTGCAGTAATAATGATTAGTTGTGTATGTTCAGACGATGATCTCGCGTATGACGCGGCGCGCGCGCGAGTTGGGCGTGGAGTAGCCGGACTCCAGCGACTCGTCGTAGCTCAGCGACAGCGGCGGCGGCTTCTCCTCACCACCGCCCTCCTCGCCCTCCGCTCCGCCCACACCGCCCACTCCCGCATACGTCTCCGGCAGACCGCTCACCTCGTGGTACGGAGACTCTGCAAACAGACATTTACATTAAATTCATTTTAATTGCGTTTTTAAAAGCGCTGCTGTATCGACAGATACGTGGATGAATATGCATCCGAATGAGAGCTAAAGATATTAGGACAAGCAAGCAATCTTTTTTTTTTAATAAATCAATTTAAAAAGATCGTTAACTAACCCGTGTGCTGGTCCATGCGCTTCTTGGGCTTGTGCACGGAGGCGTATGAGTCGGAGCAGTAGTCCTGGCGCGAGGGGTTCTGCGAGGTGCGCATGTAGTCCCCGCCGGCGGGGGCGTGTCCTGTGAGCGGGGCGTGGCCGGTCAGCTGGGCGTGGCCGGCGTGGGGGGCGTGTCCGCCGTGCGGGGGGTGCGGCAGCGGCTGATACGCCGCGTAGTCGTCGATGGTGCCGTAGCCGGCATGCATGGGGTCGTAGCCGTAGTTGCTGGTGCGCTCCAACATCATCATGCCGGGGTTGTTGGCGGCCGCCATCTTCATTTGCCACAGCGAGTCCTGCGAGTTGACGCTGCCGCCGTTGTTACTATTCGCGTAGCCTTTGTCCATGTAGCCCGTGTTGACCCCTGAAAAGTGTTTAAATTTTAGTAGCGTCTTGATATTTTATAATGGCAATGTTAAAGTCAGGTACAAGATATTAAGGATATACTCACAGTCCATATTAGACATGTTCTGTCCGACGTGTGTGGGCGTGGCGTGCGGTGCGATGTGGTACCCGTACGCGGCCTGCGTGGCGTACACGGCGTTCTTGGAGTCGTCCATAGTAAGGTCCATGGAATGTTCCAGAGCCTTGTTCTCCATGCCCGCGTTGGGGTACTCCATGTAGGGCGGCGGCGCCTGATTCTTGGGCGACGTGAGCGACATGCCGTGACCTATGGACGCCATTTCATAGTCCTTTTTCTTCTTCTCTGTACGTTTGCAGCGGCAGAAGATGAACAGAAGACACAAGAAGAGAACGAAGACGATTACGGAGACGACAATCGCGATCAATGTTGCCGTAGTGAGGGCCGACGCTTCTTTAATGTACGCTGGACCAACTGGAAAAAAATATTCGTTAATAACAAGAAAAGCAGTCACAACCATAAGGTCATAGTAGTATCCAGAAGTATTACAGTTGCACTTCTATTTGACGTAGAAAAAAAAAGATACTGACTGTCAGCTTCAACGTATTCGCTGCAGACGTCCTGCTTGTGCAGCAGACAGAGACGCAGACGCAGGCGGGGGTTGAGGTCGTCCATGGCGGGGGCGGAGGCGGCGGGGCCGAGGGCGGGGGGGCCCGGGCCCGCCAGCGTGCCGCGCTGCACGCTGCTGCTCACACCCGACACGCTTAGAGGAATCGTTTCCACAACCTGACATTGGAACATACAGTTAAATATAAAAACATGTCTTACTAATATAAATGCGAATTTAGATGGATGTTTGTTTTGAAGGTATCTCTGGAACGTCTCAATGGATCTTGATGAAATTTGGCACATATGTAGATCATAGTCTGGAAGAACACATAGGGTACTTATTGTGTTTTTTTTAATTGTGCGCAGACGGAGTCGCGGGCGACAGCAGCTAGTAGGTTATATATAATATAATGGAATCTTTTTGCGTGTAGTAGTTAGGTACGTGTAAATTATTACTATTGTTTAATTTACCTGCCATCCTCCGGACCTGCCGAGGCCCTCAGCGACAGCGACGAGTCCCAGACATGTGGGGCCGACACTGAACACGACGGCGCGCGTGCTCGGGTCGTACGTCAGCTGCTCCGGAGGCAGAATCTTGTTTACTTTCGTCGTCACTGTTATCTCATTAGAATAGTTGCTCTGGCCCTTAGTGTTTACTGCTTTCACCTGGAAATTAATATTATTATAAACATTCATTATTATTATTCATTCATTCATTATGCAATCTTAAAACCTATTACTAGTTTTGTTTTCAAACACTCACCGGGTATACGAGAAAGATTGTTCAATTGAACAGATTTAATATACTTACACTTTCATGTACTCGTGTATGAGCGATAAGAGTAAATCAATTAAGTATTGAAAACCGTGCAGCTCAGAACGATACTGTAATGTGTGATCTTACGTACCTACCTTTAATACGGATTAAATTATTTATACGCATTTAAATGTTTCCCAAGCAGTGATACACATTTTATTCGATTACAGGTTTCGTCAACAGAACAGTCACATATAGAGTGATTTAAAATATATTATTTATTTTTTGGAAATTATATCTTAAAAACACAAATGTATGAAAGAAAAGTTATTACAATGAATTTACCTTGAAAGAATAAGTATTATGCTGGTCCAATCTTGTGACGTTGCATGGATTTGCCCGCATACAGTCGTATTCCTTCCAATCATTGACATCGTTGCGGTTGCCGGCGCACTGCTCCACGGAGCCTGCGCCCCGAGCAACTCTTCTGTACCACACGTAGTATATGTTCGAGAGGCCGCCGTCGAAGCCAGACTCCCACTTCAAAGTGACATAGCTCGACCCCACCTTTTGACTGGTCAACCCCCGAGGTGATTCCGGAGCGCCTTTCGGCTGCAAACGTATCTGAGGTCGAATGCTTCCGAGTGTATTTTTGACAGTGCAGTAGTAGTCGCCGTAATCTTGAGGCTTCACGTTTCTTAATTTTAATGTACTTAAGTAGGAATCGTTGTCCTGTGTCACTGTCGTGATGTCATAGTGATCTGATGATGATAATGGAGAGTTACTGGAGCCGTAGAACCATAAGAAGTCAGGCTTAGGATAGGCCTGCACCCTGCAAGATATCTCGGCCGGCTCCATCACGTCGAATGCGACCTTCTTCTGTTGTCTGATCGAAATCGGTTCATCTGAAAGTTCAAATTTTCGAATTTAATACAAGTTGTGCAGTTTTTAAGCTCCTCTCTTATGAAGATGATAACAGAGGACTAATTTAGATATCGTCGAAAACATGAAATTTATGCTATACTTACGCTCTATTCTAAGATGCATAGAGGACTCGATCTTCTTGACTTCATTCTCCACGGCGCAGGTGTAGGAGCCCCGATCCTCGGGGATGAGGTCGTTGCCGTTAGGTCGCGCCTTGCCGTAGAAACGCAGCGTGCTCTGCACGTTGTACACAGAGTCGCGACCCTCCGTCACGTCAGTCTTCACCTCGTACAGGTTTACATCAGGTTTGATCTCAGAATTGTTCTTGTACCACTTGACGTTCGGCAACGGCTTGCCGAATGCGCTACAAGACAAGGAGAAGTTTTGTTCGCGCGAGCGTTTAGTCGCGTGCGGCTGGAGCTTGGACTGGAATCGCGGGGGCTGGTGCACTTCTAAAGTGACCGATGCCAGCTCGCCGTGTCCCAGCTCGTTGGTCGCTTGGCAATGGTAGACGCCCTCGCTGCCGAGGTGAGCGTTCGGTATGTTGTATGTGACCCCGGTGGCCAGGACTATGGGGTTCGCGTCGGAGGTGTCGATGTCCCTGAACCAGCGGTATTGTGGCGCGGGCCAGCCGGGCGGGCGGGCGCTGCAGGTGAGGGTGACGCCGGCGCCCTCCTGCGCCACGGGCCGCTCCGGAGTGATGTGCGCGCGCCCCGGCTTGTGTCGTACCAGCACCGCCACGGAAGCGCTGCTCGCTCTCTCCGCGCGATTCCCGTTGCTGGTCGAAATTATATTCACAGCTCGGCAAGTGTACGTTCCAGCTACGTCTGCATCTACTCTGGTGAGTGTGAGTGTTTTCCCCTTCTGTCTGAACTCAGGTTTACCCTCCATGGTCCACTCAATGGAGGTGGGTTCAGGATTTGCGGAGACTTCGCAGTGTATTTCAACATTACCGCCCTCTTCTGCTTCGTATGTTTTGGAGTCGATGGTGACGGTGGGTGGAAAGAGCACGTCGAGGGTTATTTCATTCTCACCGGGGCGGCCGAGTCCGTTGTCCGCGGAGCAAGTGTACTGGCCCGCGTCTTGCACTTCCACTCCTTGAATTGTGTGAGTGAAGGAGTTGGAGATGTACTTCCCGTTCCTCGTCCACCTCACGCTGGTCACTTTCGGTTTGGCGTCAACTTTGCATTCCATTGTAGCGGTGCCGTCTACTTCTATGCGTAGAGGATTCTCTGGTCCAATTTCTACTCTTGGAAAATCTGTGGAAAAAAAAATTATAGAAAACTTCACAATAAGATATGAGTTAATTTTAAAATTGCATTTAAATTATGTATTTGGAAATCAAAGGTAAACTAAAAACATATTTAAAACGGATATCCTTTATGAGTAACAAAAGTTGATTTAAAAATAGGTAGATTAAAGTTAAGGACTGAACGGTTGTTGTAAGATTATGTACAAAAATGTCGATAGCGGCGGACAGATAGCCTGACCTCACTCCAAAAAAGCTTTCGGTTAAAGTTCACAGAGTTCAGTCAACTTAACTTAACCTGATAATAAATATTTTAAGTAGATTGCATTGGTGTTAAAACGTTGATTCAATAAGTAAATATGTTTGAAGTGAGATCTTTAAAAATAATCAGTGTATGGCAAATTAGATACACATGTGGTCGATTTTCACAACATCAAAAATTAATCAAACATAAAAGTTTGTACACGGATGCGCGCGCAATCCTTGAGCTATAAAACTTTGATACCTCGCAGTCTTCCGCCTATCATCTTTAAATCAAAACGTACGCAACTATTTCACAATCTCATTGATTACATTTAACCAGAAAATCTTACGAGTAACGGATGTACTGGTGTTCTAGTTACTACGCGCGCCGACGCGGACGCCGACAAGCAACAGGGGAATGTTTATGTCTGTCGGAACTACGTCCAATTTAGAACATACATCGCGCTCATTAGCGGTTCGTGCTTTTCATTCGGGTCAGTTGATGCCAGTCTGGAGGCTGGCGGATAAATAAACAGGTATATCACAAGTACGGATAATCTAAATATTTACAACGTGTCTGTACATTGCAATGCGGCGGTATACATTGCCCGCTTGTATGCTGGATAAGTCCCGTTCGGTTTTTTCTGCAGTTTCTTTGTGATTGATAGTTAAAGGGGCTATTTAAAAGTCTTTGAAGTTGTTAAGATTTGAAGTAGAGAATTTAAAAAGATTTGAAGAAAATTTGAACAAAACTTTGAGATGTATTTTCCAATTTTTGGGATTTTATTTTAGTTCAGACAATTATATAACCTTTATCTATGAACATTTAAAGAGAATTAAGACAACGTTATTTAAAATAAAGCTTAATTTAACATACAGTCCTTGGTACACGTATGGTAAGCCTAACGTTAAATATTTCTCAAGCCGATTCGTTATACGCGCACGTAAAATGTCAAATTACGAAAGAATCAGAAGATTCTGACCAGATGCAAGTCGGTATTTATCATTATGATAGTTTATATTGCTTTAGGAAATTACAATTCTAACTATTTACGTTAAACGTATTTTTTTTAACTAATAAAAATAAATGAAACTCGCGATTGGATATAGGTTAAATGTGCAAGAGTTTTATATACCTATTGCAGCAATATTTGTAAGCGGTAAATAAGCTGATTTTATGTAAACGGTCTTGTGATCTTAAAAACTGACGGTAGATTAATCGTTAATATAAAAAAACCACAGGAATGTAGTACAAAATTCATTCAATTGCTACTATCTCCAAACTTTTTCGGTCATATTGTCTGCATGCAATCATAGAGCAGAGCATTTCTTTCGTATCCCCTGCAGTACTCATCATACGGCATCAGTAGAGTGCTTTGCTTAGTCCCCGTGACCTCCTTGTCACAGAATCCAGGGGAGTTCTTTTGTTTGCAATTAAACCCCTGTGTCTGTATTCCTTCATTGTATGGTTTTAATCAATGCGAGTAGCAATCTAACGATGGGGATATGTGACAAGGTACGTGACGTTATCCTGATGCAGGGAAGTAATGAATATCGTTCGTATAGTTAACTGTGTATGGCATTACTACAATATTATCACCTGGTTGTTACTACGACGTAATGACGAACATATTATTTGAATTAATAGATAATTTGGAACTAAGTTATATTGATCTTAAATGTTATAATTGTTAGAAATATGTCTTTTTTTATCTGAAAGTATATTTTAGTTATAATAAGCTTTCTTTTTATAAAACATCGCGTTGAAATCGCGACACTCCTGCATTTGGATTGCGCCAGACCGCTGTTGTATATTTCTAGGAAATCAAATAAATATTTGACCGTTTGGTAACAATTTGTAATGTTATAAAAATAAGCTATATTGTTTATAGTTTTTAGTTTAAGATAAAAAAAAATCTTTTTAACAATTTTTGATTGATTTCCTAGTGAACGAAATAGCAATTTGTTGTTTTAACAAATTATTATTATTTTTTACTGGCAATAATTTTATCGAGCGAAAGGCGTCGGATCGCAGTCACCTGCCGACCGGTTCAGCTCATTTGAACGCAAAAGCGAACCACAAATTAGCATGCACCGCATGTTCGTTTTAACAATTTTTGTTACATTTTGCATTTTCTTTCTGATTACGTTGGTAATTAATAAATAATTTGTCCCACACGGCATATTTAAACGAAGCAATTTAAGCAAACCGCTATAAATGTACGTTAATTTTAAAATTGATCTGTACTTTAAAGGCAAACAACCCTGACAGTTAAATATTTGTAGCACCAAGCGTGCTCTATTGAATATTATGCCTTGATTGACCAACACCTCGTTCACACATAGAGTCACACAAAGACAAATGTCGATTTGCTGCTTAATTGTTTAATAATATAACAACCACACCATATAAAGAACTTAAGAAGTTCCACTATAGTGTACGTCGCCAAATACTAAACCAGTAAATATATGCTTAAATGATTTTTAAATAGTTTAGTATATTGAGGCAGTCGTAATCATAACATTCAATCATGGAGTAGTGAGAGTGAAAGGGCAGTAAAATAGAGCGTATCATATTTGTACTACATCACCAACAGGCGGGATCGCGGTTTGAAGCTAGTGTTTTTACAAAAGCATGTATGACTTACAGTTGACGCTAAGCTGTACGGTCGCGTTGTATTGACCGCCGGCAGACATGGCGCGGTTCCATACAACGCAGCGGAAGACAGCTCCGTCGTCCTCTCTGCGCGGCGTCAACACCAGCGTGGCTACGGAGGGCTCGGCGCGCGTGCGCCCGTGCTCGAGCGACGCCTCCAGCGCGCCTGGCGACCCCTCGCGGTACCATCTGCAAATACATCACTGTTAGGAACCCAAGGAGTTTACCCAAAGAAAAACTTTTAAATATCAACGTACACATCCGTAGCTGAATTTGAACACTGTGTTGTATAAATCCTTTGACGCAATGCTACTTTAAATGGGATCCAAATCTCTAAAGTTGACTATCGTAAGGAAAATATTGCTTTCTTTCGTTGATGCCAAAAGCTTTGGATTATTTTTTATCATTAGGTTTAAAATTTGTCAAGACACCTGCCTTAAAACACCGGATACTTAGAAATTGTTAGTTATTCTTTTTATATAAATAAAGTAATCGGTGCAAACCCGGTGGGATTCGTCGACCACCTGCAAACTGTAGGGAACGATTTATTAGGGTTGTGTATGCAACATAAATTATTTAATAAGATTTGTGGCTTAATGCTAAACATGTCATTCCTTGACACATTGAAAACCTTACAATTTAAAAATATAGCATCCATTTTAAACCTATCGGGTCAAGTGTTCTTCTATAAAAAGATCTTTAAGTAAAGAACTGCTTTACCATAAAAATAAAAGAAACAAGCTTGAAAAAGATTGCATGTCCGCGAGATAAATAGAAGTTATTTTAATTAAAGCTGCAGTCAAATGATCTCTTATAAACGTTAGCTACATAAATGTTGAAGTTCCCTAAAGAAAAAGTTAATATTTCTCAAATTTAAATAATTTAATGACATCTTACTATCTTACTAATATTATAAATGCGAATATTTGAATGGATGGATGTTTGTTTGAAGGTAAAAGCTACATGGATCTCTCTGAAATTTGACATACATATATAATATGGTCTGGAAGAACACATAGGCCACTAATTAAGTTTTTTTTAATTTCGCGCGGACGGAGTCGCGGGCGACATGTAGTAATTTTATAAATAAGGAAAATACACGTACTGATACTGATTTCTTCAAAAAGTCAATAACGTATAAATTAAGAATATATTACAGCGAGACTAGCTAATTTAAACGATGAAAACATTAGGCTATTAGGTTACCTGGTTTCAAATTACTACAGTATCTTCATATATTTTGAACAACTTCTATATATAGTAGACAGAAAAGTTCACAGATATGTACTAAATAAAAATTTAATTTAGATTAAATATTTTTAGTCATGCATGTATCAAAACATGATACTTCTCCCACGTGTGTACTTATGAGAAATTGTCATTTGCAGTATACCGTTTTCCTTGTATAAATATCGAGTCTCTAAACGGCGGAAAGTGTGTCGTAATAAACGTAACTATCGGTGTATTTGGACAAAGGATTTATCGGCCATTAAATCGCCTTTTATTGTATTCCCCAAGTCCATTCAGTTAACAATTAGAAAGGTTTAAGTGCGCTACAATATTTGGTAGATTTATAACCGATATATCTTTACTATTAGGTTATTCTTTTATATTTATGGAGACATCTTATAATTTTTTTTATTTAGCAAACACTACGCTTTTAGTATACAATTTCTGTATGTATGTGATTTCTTTTCAACCTTGATGTAGATTTGCGATAAAATCTAAGGAAAATATAATGAATTTTTTTTAATAAAACATACATACATAAGTATAGTATGTAAGATTGCTCTAATTAGCTTCAGTTTTATTTTAAATATTAATAAGCATCCATGATTTTATATTTAATTTTAAATTATAAAAAAATAATTGCATATTAGTTTAGGCAAGTAGAACATCTCGTAAAAAGATATCAGTAGACCGCATTCCCAGATGATCTGCAGCAATAATTAATTACAAGTGGATTCGTTAGGCAGAGAGCCGAGCAACAGATGTTCCGACATCCTCGCAGACGGCCTTACAGAGTTCGTTTAACTTGCTATATAAAAACAGAACAAACGTTTAATTCATATTAATTGTTACAATGGATCATTGAAATAAAACTCTATTGTAATTAAATTAAAAAATAACATATATTTTACAAATACATAATCGATTTCCATTGTCGAAATATCTGTACAAATACATGTTGTCATCCCTTTCATTCTATAAGATAAATATGAGACAACAATATGCTTAGCTTTTATTCTAAACCAAAACATACTGTATTCAGCTCAATGAACAATTATATATGTTTAATCAGTGCTTGATAGTTGTCAATAACAAGATCGGAGAATGCACATAAGCTACAGTATGTTGAATTAATTACAACCAGTATTTCAAGGTCTTCATAAATTGTATGACATGTATGGAGGGACTGGATGGTAACGGTATGCGACACAACACGAAGCAAGACACCGATTATAATTCGTTTGTATTACTTTACATATTTATTTCCATACTCAAGTATCATTAAGCAATCCCTTAGCGACTATAACTGTCGTAGCTTATATGTAATTGGTATTTATTTCCGAAAAAAGTGTGAAAACATGAGATTTTTTAATTCTAAGCTATAAATAAACGGTTTTATGATTTTCAGAACGACTTACATATTTAGAAACATTTGAAACTATGTGTATCTACTAACTAATGACGTTTATTTTAATCAAATAAGTATAATATTTTATCTATTCAAATTCTTTGTAGCATACGATGACGCCATATGTAAAATAAAGGGATAGACGCGTCACGTGTTTTATGGACTCTGTAGACAAAACTCGCAGCTGTCTATATAAAAAACGTTCTCTCATCTTTGGAAAAAAAACTAATAGGGACCGACAAGAGCGATGGGGATAATGCATTGTGAATGGGGAACTATTTTTATCAATTTTAAGCGACCGAGTATTTTAGATTACGTATGTGTTACTATTAGAATATTTAAAAATGTAACGCTTTATAAATAGTGTGTTAATTTAACTTTTTTTATATTTATGGGCGCAAACGAGCGGCGGGAACACAGAGGTGATCAACGACACCCATGAACATCTGCAACACCAGAGGAACTGCAGACGCGTTACCGGCCTTTAGGGAAATGGTATGCTCTCTTCTTGAAGGTCCCTTAGTCGTATTAGTTTGGACAATTGATCTGAATCTGATTTTGATCTGTATATTATTTTAATACTAAGAAGTTTTCAATCTGGATCTTAAATATTAAGAGAAAGTATTCCTTTATTTAGGCTTGATTCAATATTACCAATAAAAAAGGTTTCTACCGAAAATTATTGCCAGAGATATTTACTAATTACAAACTCGAAACTACACAAGAAATGTATGAAATAGATAACAATAAGATCGAGGCCTTAAACTAATAGTGTTATTGTGTGTACGATATCTTATTTTACAACGAACCTTCAAAAATAATAATGCACAGATAACTAAAATATTTTAAAAGAAAATATAGTTATTAATGTGTAAAAAGCTTGTGGTATTAATGTCCGCATATAACTGTCAGTAACGCAATTAAAGCGTAAGTTGGGGTTCGAATTGTCGATTTAAAGTACTGAATACATTTAATATTATCTTAGAGACATCACATTAACACAGTACCAAGTGGCATGGAGAAGTGCTTTACTATGTAAAAGGTTTTTTTTAAACGTGGATGGCGCGTTTTGAAAGCTTCTTGACTGTTACAGGAAAACACTCAAAAAGTATTAAATTAGAGGATTGTACTATTACTAGCAAGTTACTTTTACTCCCCGCTGTTTACCCCAGAGTTATTCTGAAGGTAAAGAACCCTTGACGACTTAGTTTCTATAATGTTCTATATTTTAAGAAAATAAAGGTCACTGCTTTGCTAAATATTCCTTGCCTTCTTGACATTTGTTTAATTTTTTAAGTAAATTGTCTAAATCTGGACAATATCCAAGCAAGGTAACCTTTTGTTGCCCTTTTCTGCCTTTCTTTCTTTATATTGTGTACTCAAATACCGGAAACATAATTATTAAGTTTTTGTGCACCCTGTTCATTCCAAAAAAAGTAATAGTTTTTGTTAAAGCATTATCAGGATATCCAGCTAAAATGTTACACTCTGTATTATATTTTTTGGATTTTTTATGAACTTAGGCTCTACCAACTTACCTTTCGTTAATTTACATACAAACAAATCGATATGGCATGGGACGCGTTAATTTTGGTAACTTACTTGATGGAAGGCTCAGGAGAGCCACCGGAGCTGGAGCACTGCAGCCTGAGCTCTTGCTCCTCATGAGCGAGGGCCCTCGGCCCGGGCGTGAGCCGAGGCGGCTGCGGGGGCGTGAGTACTGTGAGCGCGTGGCCCTGTGCGTGCAGCGTGCGCCCCGACCCGCCCGCCTTCACGCGGCACTCGAACCGGCCGTTGTCACGTTCGTACGTCACGTTGGATACCAGCAGATCGAAACGACCCTCAGACGGCGCGTATTTTATTCTGTGAAAATTAGGAATTACTTAAAATTTTACTCATGATTTGGCACTAATTGTTTACGATATATCATTTCAAAAAATTAAGGCGTAAAAATATGTAAAATCTGTCTTCATTCGATGTGCCAATAAAATTGATCCCAATAATGTAAACAATATCGAAGCATACACTGTTATTAACATTTCACACAACATAATCATGTTTTTGGGTCAAACGCTTCTGTCAACCCGTCAATTAAGATCCAGTACGGGTTTTATTAAATTGTATCTGTTGTTGTCGCATGTGTTTGTTAAACTGTCGCTCCCAATTACAATCTTTATACACAACGAATATCGAATGTCCAGTTAAATGGTCCTACCGAATAAACCATTTAAAACAATATCATAACATGATTGAATAAATTGGTCTTATACAGATCTATGTGTGGGAAGCCTTATAGTTGTTATTTTTAGACCATCATTATGTGATATTTTATTTAAAAAAAAGAAACATAGAACAAACCCTATTATTATAATATAAAGTTCGCTACACACCTATAGTTTTAACTGCACAGTCGAACTGTACTGACTGAGGGTGTGTCGCGGGTTTAGTAGTAGACGTAACCAACGAAAACACGCCTTGGCCGTTTTTCTTAAGTTTACATTGTAATAAGAAACTACAGTAAAATGTCGCTAACCACACCTTTTCAACGTTGGTTCCTAACACAACTAAAATTACGTGCATTCAACATGCATACTTTAGAATACACATATCTTAAATACGTTTCAACCAAATAGTGAATAGTTATGAAATATAACAAGCCAAGCGCTGCTAATAACGTAAAATTATTTTAATAAGTGTGACCTAGTTAGTAACAATGAATTCATATTAAACGAAGGTATGCCCGTTCTTAAACTTATGACTCAAGAGTTATGTTAACGAGAAGAGTTTCAAGTGAATTAAGTGGCCTACTTAAGTGTTGATATACCCTATGGGTTCATAATGAATGGGGTCCTCAGAAAATGTTATATAAGCTATACTGGATAGGCACATACCAATATAGTAGAACAAATGAGAAGTGACGATAGAAATGTGGAATGAGTTGAGAGCCTACATCGCTCACCAGACAAATTGGAATAAGGACAGACCGTAGTCTGTATCATAATTCTAATTAGTTACAATCGGGTATTTTTAATCATTTGCATACCTAAAATTGAACACGAAAATGAAATTTCTCTGAAATTGTACAGCAGTGTTACATAGGTAATATTCAAGGTCAAAACAATGCAATAATTTTGCACAGCTGTTATATTTTAATGTGCAAATTGTCACGGTCACGTACATTGTGGCATTGGTTAATGCGTAACTACACGTACAGTACACCGGCGAAGGTCGGAAATGCACATTGTATAAACGTACACAAAGAGAAAACAATGAAAATCAAACATTGACAGAGTTAACATAATGATACTAGTGAAATGGTCATGGTAGATCGTCTCAGTAAATATATTTGTTACAATTTGAATATAAGGACTTGACACTATATAAGCTAAATATAAGAAAGATTTATGACGTAACAGTTGCACTCCAATTAATATGTAAAAGAAGGCTTGTCTTAAAACGTACCAGAAGAGGTATAGAAGTAAATTGCAAATGTTTACTTACTCGGAATATACCACAATGTAACAATTTGTTGTTAAAGCGTTTTAAATCAATAATAAATATTTGTTATTTATAACCTGCTTGAAAAAAGTGATTTTAATGATGACTGTGTATAATTAATTAGAAGTACGATACAAACGTGTCTTTGAACCCAGAAGTGTTGACACATATTACGTCTTTTCATTGCTCTAGTATTACACTTCTATACTGTTAGGAAGAAAATCCGACACTGTGACGGTGTACCGGCGCAATACTAGCCTTATCAAGATATCAACGTTTATGTCTCCTCACTAATCAATCTGACACTTGTCTTGGCAACGAAAGCGCGCCATTTGCTCTAAATTATTCTAACTAATACTGTCTAAAAATACATACTAGTTAAATGTTTATTGATTACAGGTACATTTACTTCATTTCAAACAACTATTCTATTTATTTGTTTGAAAAACATCAAGCAACTTCTGCAGCGTTTCTGCATAATGTAAAAACTTTGATAAAATATGAGGAACGTTTAAAGTAAAAGGACAGTTTTTTACATATTTCAAAACTAAAGCAAGTGAATAAAGTTTTAATGTACAGTCGAGAACGTAAATTTCCTACACATTTCTGAAAAAATCATTTGATGATACTGCAATAAGGTCGAAAACACATACATGTTAAATGATAGCACTTATAGTGATAGTTTGCTGTACGATTTCGTTCCTAAGTTGGAAGCGAATTTAATTCTTTGAATGTAAGCAGAAGCGTTACACGTAGGATGTAAGTATACATTATGTCTTTGTTAGTAGCTTTAGTATGGAGCATTGAATCTTATGCGTGGGCATACCATCACGTGTGAGAAGACTATTTATTCAAGTCGTGCGCCGCCGCTCGATTGTACAATCGTTGGAAGATTGGACCGAAAAACGTTTAGATTTTTTTTTACTATATATTGGCTTTGGAACGGACTCGATATTCGCCGACTGTACGCCTGACGGATCAACGTAAAAAGTGTATGAATATTTTGCGTTCTGGTGCAGTAAATTGAAAATAACAGATACTCCGTAGTTTCTATACATGTATGTAAGGCGTGCAAGCATATACACATCAAAATATCTAAGATCATGTAAGAGAAGGTTGTAGTTAATATAAACTTTAACAGCAACTAAACTTAAACGAGTTAAAGAAGTCCGGACCTCGTCAAGCACGCTAATAATCAATTAAAGTGACATAGAGATCCTAACTCGGACTTGGCTTCTGTTATAAAACTTCATCACATAGTTGCGACATCCAAGCTTATAAATCACTTACTGGTAGTTTGTCTCTAGCGGTATGTTGCCAATGGCGACGTTGTCGTGTCCGCTGGCGGTGTTGCGCACCCAGTAGTAGGTTAGGGAGTCGGGGCCGGGTGGCAGGCTAAAACGACACTGCAGCGTTACGTCGTCACCCTCATGCGCGTCATGCTGCTCGTCCTCCGGCAGCGCAGAACACACTGAAACATAACACGCACATTAGCACAAAGTTAAAACAACACGCACTGTTGCGAAGAGAGATCAAGACTTATCGGGAATAAGGAAATGAAGCACAATAAGAGAGAAATTCGAGACGTTATCCAACTTATTGTGCTACTAGCTCTACCAACATTGTGTACAAGAATTCGTCTATTGAACCAAAGTACTCCTCGATCTAGTACAGCGACTAACCCTATACGAATACAAAGCAAATTATACTCCCGAACTACAAATGTGGCTATCAAGACATACGCAATTATTTTATTCAAGTAGCAAAAATAAATACTTTATAAACATAAATAGCATTCAATAACACAGTTTATTTCTTCGTGCAGCAAAATTGATTGTAAACGTCGGAAACATTCAATACCGTGTCTACAAAACATCGTGCATCGACACAAAGCGAATTGATTCCGCACAGGCCGATGCCAACGATGCTCACGGAGATCTCAATGTCGTAATACAAATGGTAATCAATATAGAAATTATGTTTTGAAATTAAACACAATATAGACGTATTTAGTTTTATTTTTATTTATTTATTTAAGGAGCAGCATCAACATCAAGGACACTTATTCCCTGTCTCGAGTCAGTAATATTTTATTTCAGGATTTTTATATTATAGTACAGTAACAATAATAAAGGTGCGTAATGCTTACTTATATGAATAGATGATGATTAAATCAGATTAACATTTTATGACAACAAGAATACCAGTATGAAATAATAGACGGATTCACGGATTTTTTAGTGACACAGACAAAATTCCTTTAAATATAAGTAAATCGGACAGTTGTGTTTATGGTCTTTGGTTTGCCGATCATGTATGGCAGCGACAACCCATATTATGCTAAGTAATAAACTAGGACATTAAAGAACTATACAGAATAGGATCTACCATATATAGAGCACATTTTACTAGCCTTAAACTTGATTACATCAGAGCAGGCTGTTTGTTAGAAGTGTTTCCTGGTTAAAAAAGCCACAAAAATTTACGTTACAAAATATCTATTTTATAACGCACTTTAAAAACCGTAGAATTTATGAACAGTAAACGTTTGCCATAAAATTTAACTGCATGGCGAAATCGTTGGGAGTGCTTTCGTTCAGGTAGGCCAGCGACCTTTGTGTAGTTTGAAATTAAAAAAAAAAGAACAGCTCAAACGAAGCTTCAGGTTTTTTGATACGATTTCCTGCGTATTGTCAATAAATCGACAACAAAGCGAATCGAATTGTAATGGATTTACAATGGGTCTTTTTAATGTTTAAATAGATGGAGTAGAAAGGAAATGAGGACAATTGGGACGGTCAGTACTCCATGAAATGAGCTGTAATGCAATACCAATTAATACTCTCGTATTATGATAATGAATATGCATCGTCAGCGTACACTCTTCTGTTGCCAGGTCCTCGAAGGCTAACATTAGTTACGAACGTCTTCATTATTCGAATGTCCTTTGCAGAAAACCTTAATAACCACAAAAGACGCTCCCATGAAAGTACCTAAGCACTTATACATTTAAAATTAAACGTCTGATTAAAGAAAATTTTGTTCTTTGACTCCAAGTTTGATAGATAGCAGTATGTATGCATTTTATGTAGTCCACCGGCACTGTGTTTTGATTGAGGAATTTTATTTCTTCACACGAGTAACGAGGCATCCGCATCTCGTGTATTTATAGAGGCCTAATATAACTGTCTACGGAACGCAAAATTCAATGTCTGGCCGACTATTGCTAAAATGTATGGAGACAGTAAGTATACACAAACGCATTAGTATTTTGAGATTAGTTTGTTTATCTTCTTAAATAGTGTATACAAATTTGTTTTTAATTTTTTTTTGATTGCAGCGATACTTGTAAGTAGATGTTAGGTGTTACTGGTTGGTGTCCTTTGAAGTTATGATGCGGTCTCTGGACAACTTTTCGGTTATGAGCACAAATGTTATACTACTCAGAATTACGTATGTCAGATTTATCGGGCAGCATCGTAATATTTGCCATATCAATATTGTCTAGACAACGTCCTAAACTTCATTTCGTGATTTAACGGTTGCCTGTTTTAAAATTGTAACTGACGATTTAAATTATTCAAACTTTCGTGAGACATTATATTAAACTGATATATAAACACGGCTAAACACCGATGGGCTCGAAACTAGTCGGTGCCGCCACCGGACGTATATACGTGAGTGTTTAGCCGTGTTTACATATCAGTTTAACTGACGATTTATTGGAATGATTTTTCAATTTTGTTTCAATGAATGAAATCAAAATACTCGAGAATGATTAAAACTTTTTATAAAACTGACCGTTGCCTGTTCCGGTTTCTATTGTCATTAAAAACTATTCGCTGAAACAAAATCCGAGCTCAGCCCAGATTAAATTACGAACAAAACTTTGTCACGGACCTTTTGTAACGTTCTACTAGATTAATCATTGCTTTGGCAGAGAAAGTGATTAAAAATCGGTTATGAAATTGGAAAGTACGTTGGTTGTAAGAGAATTATCAAAGGTAAAAAGCGGTGGAAAGGAGTGAGGCGCGGGCGCGGGCGCGAGCTGGCGGTCAATGACACGGGGTCGCGTGCGCCGGCCGCGCTGTGCTACGCCGGCGCTTTCGAAACCAATGCTGCCAACCGTTCGTCGTGCACTTGGACATGTCTTTTCCCATAAATATTAAGTTTAGTACTACAAAGATATCTAGACCGGTGGATATAAGCGAACTTAATGCTATCTAAATACTTGTTTAGCTCCTCTATCAATGTCAAAAAAACGTCTTACTGGAACATTGACGGACTGTAAGAATATAACTGTCTTGTCTTTTCCATAAAGTTTTCAACTAGCAATAATCGCACCTCGGATTAACCTCATTGGTTACGATATTGCCTCTGCGCAAAGTCCATGTCTAAGTTGGATAGAAGTGCTTCTGTCACTAGCCAAACAAGTTAGCCGTACTGTAGGTACTAATTTGACAAATTGATCATGTTCGACATATAAGATAAAGAGGTGATAATAATAATAAAAATTACAAAGGCAGTGTCCTTATTTCGAATCAAAAGCATTGTTACCCTTGTATAACTGGCTGCCGCTTGTGTTTGCTTTATCTCAACGCTTTATCAACTTCCAAAGTCACCAGAAAGGTCTTCATATTGCCCTCATTTCTAAAGAGCTTATGGAAAAATTATCATCGAAACTTGACAAAACGGTTATTAATGGCTTGATAAAAACGCAAAGTAAGAGAATAACAATCGGAGTAATTTCTGTTACTGTATTGGTTCGTGTTATTCTAACTTTAAAAAAAACTAAGTTAAAAGTTTTCGAAATTTAGAAGTCAGCTTTATTTTGCTAAAAATTACAAATAGCTTTGTATATATATTCATAGTAAATAGACATAAGTATGTCAAACTGGATAATTATACTTGGTAACACGGATTATTTAAAAATCAAATGCATTAAAGGACATAGGGCTTATTTAATGAAATACCCCCCTGGATGAACTGACGCAAGTGTTACCCAATAACTGCTGGCATTATCACACTTAATTATTTGTGGGGACTATTAAAACAAACATATAATTAAACTTTACTTACCGATAACTTAATTATAAACAGTAGAAATGTTATTCTGAGATATTAAAATAAACAATTTGGTATTAAATCTCCAATCGTTAAGTTATTGACTCTAGAGATATTCTCCTACTTATATGTCAATTATATTTACTTGATAAGAGAATTAATTAAACAACAACAACAACAACAGCAACAACAACAGTTCTATCAGACAATGCTTTGTTAACAAAGCATTGTCTGATAGAACATTAATAATCTCTTGCATTAATCTTAAGTGTACAAACAAACCGCGGCGCATGTCGCGTATGCATAAGATAGTGAGAGGTCGTCCGCCGCGCCGTGGTGCTTTTCAAGGCTCAAGCTTAGCGTTAAATAACAATTAGTCTTAATTGAATGTTTGTCGCATTGTTGAAAAATGTTTGTCGCAACACAAAATATGGAGTATTCAAGTCATAAAATGAGTTAAGATCGAGTAAATCTCAACAACGAATGCCTTTTGATGGCTTCTGTAACGGCGAGAGTTTTGTTAAACAAGGGCATTAGTAAAGCAAGCACATAGTACTTTGTTCGTTCCTTTCCTGACTCTATCCTCCACTAGGCGAGTGACAACGAAAACACACGTGTTCCGCATTGTTAATGAAGAAAGCGATGTTCAGCCACAAGTGGGAAATAATAATTAGGGTTGGTAACTTCACGTTTTCCTGGTAACTTGATTTCTGAACCGAAATATATGTTTTATATTTTAAACTTGATAACATATCAACTAATTTTAACTAAAGTTACTAAACTAAAGTTATTAAGAGTGAAACACTTAGGACGCAGTTGGCGCAGCTGTTCTGAAGTATCAGCTATACCGAGAAAGTGTACCATTGCCGGCGTGTTTTAGAATTATTTAGTTTAAACTAACAGATATTCACTAGCGAATAAGATGCGAGGAATTTATTCACGATTATTCCTTATCTTTTTAGAAAAAGGTATTTATCAAGGTAAAACGTATAACTTAACTCTATATACTTCTAATTGATACAATCAATGGCTAAAAGTACTTAGTCTTTTTTAATGCGATGAGTCGAGTAATCCGCGGTCCTTTAATCTAAAGATTTCATGTTGTTCAGTACAATTTTCTAAGTAGTTATTACAGGTACGTTAGGTTAGTGGTATAATATAAAGTAATTAGTATTAGCAACCCTAGCGGTGGCGCTGTAAGCGGAGACCGTGGGAGCATGCGGGCCGCACAATGTGTCGGATTGCAGCTTGAGCGGTGAACAGTCGATACACTTGCAAACATTAGCCACTGTTTCCACTGGATACGTGCTCCTTATGTGGGAACGTTGCCGTTAATACAATGTTTCATGCGAACTTATTAAGGACAATAGTGTATATACTGTAGCTAAATTTCGAACCAAAACCAAT